TGGAGTCTCTCTCTGTCGCCCAGGCTGGAGTTCAGTGGTGCGATCTCAGCTCACTGCAGCCTCTGTCTCCTGGGTTTCAGCAGTTCTCCTGCCTCAGCCTCCTGGGTAGCTGGGATTACAGGCACCCACCACCACGCCCAGCTAATTTTTGTATTTTTAGTAGAGATGGGATTTCACATGTTGGCCAGGCTGGTCTCGAACTCCTGAACTCAGGTGATCCACCCGCCTTGGCTTTTCAAAGTGCTGGGATTACAGGCATGAGCCACCACTCCCGACTTCTAAAGAGTCTCCCTTTGTTGCCCAGGCTGGTCTTGAACTCTGGGCTCAAGTGATCCTCCCACCTCAGCTTCCCAAAGTGCTGGGATTACAGACGTGAGCCGCTGTGGCTGGCCTCCTAATAAAGTTTTGTTTTGGTTTGGTTTTGGTTTTTTGAGAGAGAGTCTCTCTCTGTCACCCAGGCTAGAGTGCACTGGCACAATCTCGGCTCACTGCAAACTCTGCCTCCCGGGTTCAAGCAATTCACTTGCCTCAGCCTTCTGAGTAGCTGGGATTACAGGCGCATGCCACCATACCTGGCTAATTTTGTGTGTTTTTAGTAGAGATGGGGTTTCACCATGTTGGCCAGGCTGGTCTCAAACCCCTGACCTCAGATGATCTGCCCGCTTTGGCCTCCCAAAGTGCTGGGATTATGGTTGTGAACCACTGTGCAGGGCATCTTTTTCTTTTTAGTATAATATCTTTAGGATAAACTTTCAGAAGTGACGTTACTGATTCAGAATTTTTTTTTTTTTTTTTTTTTTTTGAGACGGAGTCTCGCTCTGTCACCCAGGTTGGAGTGTAGTGGCTGATCTCAGCTCACTACAAGCTCCACCTCCCGGGTTCACGCCATTCTCCTGTCTCAGCCTCCCGAGTAGCTGGGACTACAAACGCCCGCCACCTCGCCCGGCTAGTTTTTTGTATTTTTTAGTAGAGACGGGGTTTCACCGTGTTAGCCAGGATGGTCTTGATCTCCTGACCTCGTGATCCACCCGTCTCGGCCTCCCAAAGTGCTGGGATTACAGGCTTGAGCCACCGCGCCCGGCCTGATTCAGAAGTTTTTAGTTTTTTTTATGGCTCTAAAAGTGCCAGATGCCTTTTGAAAGAGACAAGTTTCAGTTTGTATAAATTACTTGAGACAGCTGGGCGCAATGACTCTCACCTGTAATCCCACCACTTTGGGAGGCTGAAGTGGGCAGATCATTTGAGGTCAGGAATTTGGGACCAGCCTGGCCAACATGGTGAAACCCCATCTCTACTTAAAATAAAAAATTAGCCGGACGTAATAACTCATGCCCGTAATCCCAGCTACTCAGGAGGCTGAGTCAGGATAATTGCTTGAGGCAGAGTTCGAAGTGAGCCGAGATCATGCCAGTGCACGCCAGCCTGGGTGACAGAATGAGACTCTCTCTCAAAAAAACAAAAACAAACAAAAAAACTTTATTAGGAGGCCGAGCACAGTGGCTCATGACTGTAATGAGCACTTTGGGAGGCTGAGATGGGAGGCTTATTTGAGCCCAGAGTTCAAGACCAGCCTGGGCAACATAGGGAGACTCTGTCTCTAGAAAATAAAGAAGAAGCTGGGCACGATGGCTCATGCCTGTAATCCCAGCACTTTGGGAGGCCAAGGTGGGCAGATCACCTGAGTTCAGAGTTTGAGACTAGCCTGGCTAATATGGCAAAACCCCATCTCTACTAAAAATATAAAAATTAGCTGGGCATGGTGGTACATGCCTGTAATCCCAGCTACCTGGGAGGCTGAGCCAGGAGAGTCACTGAAACCTGGGTGGTGGAGGCTGCAGTGAGCCGAGATCCCACTACTGCACTCCAGCCTGGGTGACAGAGAGAGACTCTGTCTCAAAAAAAAAGGGAGAAAGAAAGTAAGAAAAACCCGGGTGTGGTGGTACATGCCCATAGTTCCAGCTACTAGGCAGGCTGAGGTGGGAGGATCACTTGAGCCCAGGAGTTGGAGACTGCAGTGAGCTAGAATCCTGTCACTGCACTCTAGCCTGGGTGACAAAGCAAGACCCTGTCTCAAAAGATAAAACATAAAAATAAACTTTATCAAGTATCTGTCTTTTAAGGATTTGGGATAGAGACTTCCCTCTGTCAGTTTGAATTTTAAAATGAGAAGGCATTAATCGATGCTATGGAAAATAGTAAAACTGGTATTTTAATGTTTGTTAGGTATACATTTATAATCTTAAATTTTAAGATCTTCTTACACATTAGAATTTTAAAACTCACTTGTATTTTGCTTAATCTTCATTTAGCTGATAAAATATATTAAATTTTCCTAAACGTTGTATACCATTTGCTAACTTAACATCACAAATTTTTATTGTTTAGATTTTTTTTTTTAGGTACCTCAAACTGCTGGCTAGGCACGCTTACAAACCTATCAAAGGAAATCTTCCTAAGCACTTAGATATTGTTTATAAAACCAGCTAAGTCTAAACTTACTGATTTAATCAATTAGATTCCCTTCTGTGCTTAAATGTAGATGACAGTTTAATTTTTATGAATCTAATACGTCAGAGTCTTTTCAACTCTTCGAAACACTAAAGACAAGCAGAATTAACCCATGATAAAATGTATTACCACACATACCTTAACCTGTCATGTTAATTTATCACAATAGTATTAATAATACAAGTTTGACTCACTTTTAAATTATATCTATACTTTAAAAAGGATTTTTTTAAGGTTGCACAGTCACTTAAGCAATTAAAGGCTGCAGAGTGTTGTGGCTGGTTTAGGATACAGATTACATAATTGTTTACTCCTTGATTTGATGTAAAATAGAATTAATTATAATATGAATATAGTGAGCACATAATTGCATTTTTTGCTATTTTTGTTTTGTTTTGTTTTGTTTTTAAGATAGAGTCTCGCACTGTCGCCCAGGCTGGAGTGGTACAATGGCGTGATCTTGGCTCACTGCAATCTCCACCTCCTGGGTTCATGCCATTCTCCTGCCTCAGCCTCCTGAGTAGCTGGGATTACAGGTGCACACCACCACACCTGGCTGATATTTTGTATTTTTAGTAGAGATGGGGTTTCACTATGTTGGCCAGAGTGGTCTCGAACTCCTGACCTCGTGATCCACCTGCCTTGGCCTCCCAGAGTGCTGGGGATTACAGGCATAAGCCACCGCGCCCTGCCCTTTGCTGTTTTATTATTGGAAATTATTTTATTGTCACTGTTGAATATCAGTGTGTACTCATGGCTTCTCATAGAAATTATTTTTTCATTTTTATGTATACTTGTCTTTTTTCTTTTTCAGTGCTGAATTGTCCAACGTGGACAGTGGAAGCCCCTTTAAACTGATCCTCTGTTTGATTCCCGCCACCCCAGGCATATTTATGAATATTGTGCTTTCTGGCAACAATAAGCTGATCCAGGCTCTTCGCTCCAGAAATGCAGTCCCCTGCCTGCCAAGGAGTCCTGGGGTTTTTTTAGTGGAGAATAGCATTAGAAGGTCAATTCTGATCTTAAGGTTATCAGTAATGGATAATGTGACACAGCTGCTTTGACCACTGTAATAACAGATTAAAAAAAATTTTTTAAAGACTATGACTTTATAGTGATGTTTCTAATTTAACTGTATGGAATATTAAAATATTTTAAATCAATGTTTTTATCATAGTAATATATAAATTTACAGGTCAACTAGTAATTTAAGGTCTATAACAAAAACAGTGGTCTCTAAGGAAAAAAACACACAAAAATCAAGTGGTCCCTGCCCCATAATAAAGGGAACTACTTTGAACATTTTAATCCATTTTTTGTAATACTTAACTCCGCGTGTCTGAATAATATGCCTTGATTTTTCCATTTTAGACAGCCATTGGCTGTCTGCTGTGAAATATCTCTTATATCAGACCCCCTTTAACACAGTGAGACATATACTCTTCCCCTTTCATTTTCTACATGTGCTTTTGGCACAGTTTGTGATCACACATTCAGAAGTTTGACATACCTGTGCAGCCTGTCTGTGTGACTTAGAACTTTTGTTCCTCTTCAAGAAGGGATGGGGAACCTTGACAAGAATCATCTCCTTGTCTCTGCTGCTTCCTCCCTAACTGCGGTAAAGGAGCAGAAAGGGGACAGAGACAGCAAGTCCTGAAATATGTTAGGCAGTCCTCACTGCACGGCTTCCACTAGAATCGTGTGTGGACTGGTTTAGCTGGTCCTATGAGATTTTTCTTCTTTTCCTTTCTTTTATTTTTTTGACTTTTCTTCTCAAGGGAGGTGACCTATGAGTTTTTTTTAACTCTATCCTTTCTTATTCTAAACTCTAATTGTATTTAATTTGTATATTTTTTGGGTTTTTGTTTTTGTTTGTTGTTGTTGAGACAGTCTCGCTCTGTCACCAGGCTGGAGTGCAGTGGTGTGATCTCTGCTCACTGCAACCTCCACTTCCTGGCTTCAAGCAATTCTGCCTCAGCCTCCCGAGTAGCTGGGACTACAGGCATGGGCCATCACGCCCCGCTAATTTTTGTATTTTTGGTAGAAACGGAGTTTCACCACGTTGGCCAGGATGGTCTCGATCTCTTGGCCTGGTGATCCGCCTGCCTTGGCCTCCCAAAGTGTTGGGATTACAGGCGTGAGCCACCGCGTCAAGCCTTTTTCTTTGTTTCGTTGTACTTAATTTATAGAAGGCAGATTATCCTTAAGGTTCGCTTAGGTATCCATGTTTGTGACATCCCTGCCTTGATGATCTGTTATTTTCTTGTGAACTTAATTATGGGACTTTTTTATTTTTCAAATAATTGGTAGAACTTGTTACTCATACAACCCCATCATCATTTCACTGAGTTACTTTTTTGTTGTTTTTATAATTTTTTTTTTTTATATATTAACCACACTTGTCCGTTTGGGAAAATAATTATTGTATACAAATGGAAAGTATTTGGAAATCACTCTTTAGTCTGATGTTTACCTTTTTTTTTTTTTTGCAGATATATTTTTGCCATCATGGATCAGTTTGGAGATATATTAGAAGGTGAAGTTGACCATTCTTTCTTTGACAGTGACTTTGAAGAAGGAAAGAAATGTGAAACTAACTCAGTTTTTGACAAGCAAAATGATGACCTGAAGGAAAGAATAGATAAAGAAACAAAAAATGTGAACTCGAACACTGGAATGCAAACAACAGAAAATTATCTTACTGAGAAGGGAAATGAAAGAAACCTGAAACTTCCCCCAGAACACCCTGTAGAGAACGATGTTACACAAACTGTAAGTTCTTTCTCATTGCCAGCCTCTTCAAGATCAAAAAAATTGTGTGATGTTACAACAGGACTTAAAATACATGTGTCCATTCCAAGTAGAATTCCCAAAATTGTAAAAGAAGGTGAAGATGATTACTACACAGATGGAGAGGAAAGCAGTGATGATGGGAAGAAATACCATGCCAAGTCCAAGTCCACCAAACCATCTACCAACGTTAAAAAAAGCATAAGGAAAAAGTATTGCAAAGTTAGCTCCTCTTCCTCCTCCTCTTTATCTTCCTCATCTTCAAGTTCAAGCACAGATTGTTTAGATGCAGGGTCTGATAGCCATCTATCTGATTCATCTCCATCATCCAAGAAACATGTATCTGGTGTAACCCTCCTGTCACCAAAACAGAAGTATAAATCAGAAATAAAATCGACAGAAACACAGCCTTCAAGTATGACACCAAAATGTGGCCACTACCCTGAGGAGTCTGAAGATACTGTGACCGACGTAAGTCCCTTATCAACTCCAGACATTAGCCCTCTTCAGTCTTTTGAACTGGGCATAGCAAATGATCAAAAAGTGAAAGTTGAAAAGCAAGAAAATGTGAGCCAAGAAATATATGAAGATGTTGAGGATTTGAAAAATAATTCAAAATATTTGAAATCAGCCAAAAAAGGGAAAGAAAAACATGAGCCTGGTCTGTCCTCAAAGTCGTCTTCAGTGTTAGACTCCAGTTTGGAGCACAGACATAAACAAAAAGTCTTACATGACACAATGGATCTGAACCATCTTTTGAAAGGTAATTTTCTTTTCCTCTTAAAGTATGTGTATTTACATATGGAGCATAAATATTAAATGCTATGAATTTGCATTGATTGTTCTAGTAGATTTTTTTTTTTTTTTTTTTTTTTTTTGAGACGGAGTCTCGCTCTGTCACCCAGGCTGGAGTGCAGTGGCCGGATCTCAGCTCTCTGCAAGCTCCGCCTCCCGGGTTTAGCCATTCTCCTGCCTCAGCCTCCCGAGTAGCTGGGATTACAGGCGCCTGCCACTTCGTCCGGCTAGTTTTTTGTATTTTTTAGTAGAGACGGGGTTTCACCGTGTTAGCCAGGATGGTCTCGATCTCCTGACCTCGTGATCCGCCAGTCTCAGCCTCCCAAAGTGCTGGGATTACAGGCTTGAGACACCGTGCCCGGCCGATATTTTTTATTGTTGGGAATAATTGATATTATTAGTAACTTTACTAAATACTGTATTTTACCATAAAAATATCTGGAATATCATTTGTATTATTTGGTATAGTAGTTTGTATTTGTATAATACATATTTTATTTTAGTGCCTTACAAACTCACAATGCCTAAAGAAAACAGGTGGATAAGATAAATGAGAGAAGGGGAGCTAGATGTTTTTCTGCTTGCGATAGAGACACGGGCATGTTTCGCTTTCTTCTGCACGACAGGCAACAGCGCTCAGGCTAACACCCGATGTGGTGTCCTCATATCAGGGACAGCGGCAAGAATGCTGGCAAATGAGAGAACTCAGAGCAAACTAAAGAGGACTCTTTAGACTTTTAAGTTAGAGGCTAAAGAGCATTACTTACAAATAATTACCAAATTGATGAAAAACATTAAGTTGCTTTAAGATATAATGTATTTTTGAACTAGAATAGTCTTTTTGCTTTGTTTCTGTATCAATTTATTATTATTTATATTTAGTTTGAAAGTAACAATTTTCCAGTTCAAATAAAAGCAATTTCAAAGTTTTATCTTTGGACTAGTTAATAGAACTAATAACACTGGGTAGGTTTTAGGTCAGTTGATGATAAAGTTTTTAAATTGTAAATAGAATTCTCTTCCTTTGTTTGAAGTGTTAAAGTCTTTAGCTAGATAAATTACATATGGTAGCAATGTAAGGGCATAAATACCTTGTTAGTAGAACACGGTCAAATTGACAAAGTGTATTTAGGAGCAGTTCACACTTGATGTTCCCTCTTTTGTAGGTTTTGTTTTTTGTTTTTGAGACAAGGTCTTTGTCGTCCAGGCTGGAGTGAAGTCACATGACCACAGCTCACTGCAGCCTTGACCTCCTGGGCTTAAGTAATCCTCCTGCCTCAGCTTCCTGAGTACCTAGGACCACAGTCATGCCCCACCACTCCTGGCTAATATTTTTTATTTTTGTAGAGATGAGGTTTTACTATGTTGCACAGGCTGCCTCGAACTCCTGGCCTCAAGCAAACCTCCTACCACAGCCTCCCAAAGGGCTGGGGTTATGGTGCATGCCACTGCATCTGGCACTTTTGTAGGCATTTTTTCCCCCTTTCTCTGATTGTACCTGTTGATTGTTTAGAGTCTCTGAAAAATCACACTCTTAGTGTTGGCCATCACCATCTAGTGGCTAAGCCTCCATCCCATAAATCTTTCCTAATAAACGCTTATTCAGCCTCTTAGAACTTTCAGCATTAAAGAGTTTTCTATTCATGCCCTCAATTCCTCCCAAAAGAACTAAAGTGATCTTTTACAAAGTAAATTAAAAAAAAAAAAAAAAGGAAATCGGTCCTACTAGTTTCCACTCTTCAGTGACTTACTCTTATATTAAAATAATACCTGGCCAGGAGCGGTGGCTCACACCTATAATCCCAGCACCTTTGGAGGTGGAGGTGGGCAGATCACTTGAGGTCAGGAGTTTGGGAGCAGCCTGGCCAACATGGCAAAACCCCATCTCTACAAATAATACAAAAAATTAGCCGAGCGTGGTGGCACACGCCTGTATTCTCAGGTACTCGGGAGGCTGAGGCATGAGAATTGCTTGAGCCTGGGAGGTGGAGGTTGCAGTAAGCTAAGATTGCACCACTGCACTCCAGCCTGGATGACAGAGCGAGACTCCCATCTCAAAAAAAAAAAAAAAATGTATCTACGTGTGTATATATATATGAAGCCAGGCATAGAGGCACATGCCTATAATCCCAGCTACTTTGAAGGCTGAGGCCAGAGCCAGAGGGTCCCTTGAGTCCCACCTAGGCAACATAGTGAAACCCATATATTATTATTAAAATAATAATAATATCAGCCGGGCATGGTGCTCATGCCTGTAATCCCAGCACTTTGGGAGGCTGAGGCAGGCAGATCATGAGGTAAAGAAATCGAAACCATCCTGGCCAACCTGGTGAAACCCCGTCTCTACTAAAAATACAAAAATTAGCCAGGCGTGGTGGCGGGTGCCTATAGTCCCAGCTACTCAGGGGGCTGAGGCAGGAGAATAGCTTGAACCTGGGAGGCGGAGATTGCAGTGAGCAGAGATCGTGCCACTGCACTGCACTAAGATCGTGTTGCACTCCAGCCTGGCAACAGAGCGAGACTCCGTCTCAAAAAAATGATAATAATATCTAAATTCCTTATTGTTGCCTAACAGACTCTCATCCCAGGCAGTGCATTAATATCACCTAGAGAACTCTTAAAACAAATACTGACGCCCAGGCTCTACCCACAGGGATTCCGATGCATTTGGTCTAGTATGCTGTTAAGATTGATGAGAACCGTTGCTCTACGTTGTATGGATATTGCTGGCCTTTTGGACCTGATGTCGTATTACTGTGCTCCAGTCACACTTGCTGTTGCTGCTACTGTTGTAAGGACACTCCAGGTTTTTTCCCAGTGGTGGGGCACTTGCATTGCCGCGGCCCTTTTTCTTTGCACAGGGCTCTGCTTCTGCCTGTTTCTCAAGTCTCTCAGTTTATACACCATGCCTCACAGAGCCTTTTTCTAGGCATCTGTCTTTGGGAGCTTTTACACACCTCTCTGTGTCGCAAAAGCGTGTTTCCCTCCATCGAGATAGTTACCGGACCCTGAAATCAGTGTAGTTTGTTTGCTCGTGTGTCCCATTGGAGTGAACGAAGGCAGGATCTTATTTCTTGTTGGAATTCCCCAATACAGGCACATAGCAGACAGTATTTGTGGACTGAAGGGACTGTCAGGAAGCGGCTTCTGTTGCTCAGCTCTGCTGGTTAGGAAATGTATTTCATATGTTTCGGGGAAATTTGCTTTTGTAACAGTTGCCCATTCCTGTTAAATTTGCCATCTGAAATACATAGAAAAAGTCTGTGCATCCTTCTGCATTACAATCTTTAAGAAGTTTGATGAATATTCTCCCCTGGGTAAAATCTCTAATTTTTAATCAAGCCATCTGGGGTAACAATTTTCACTTTTTTCTTCTAATTCTTATGGCCACTTCCCAGTCTGTGTGTTCATTAATTAAGCTAGAGCATACGATTCGCTAGGTGGATGCTTCATTGGGTTGATAGACAGCAGGCTGCAGCTGTCTCCTGCTGCTCTGGATTTCCAGCACCAACCTCAAGTGTGCTAACACAGCTTTTAAACATTTTGATCGTAGGACCCTTTTACATTCGGAAAAGTTATTGAGGATTCTGAAGAGCTTTTGTTTATATAGGCTATAGCTTATATCCATAAATATTTACCATATTAGAAATTAAACATTTTAAAAATAGTTGTTTAATAGTAGTTATAAAATCATTATATAGTTGCCATATAATGTAAGTAACATATGTCATGAAAAAGCTGTATGTCCAAAAAATCAGTGATTTTTGCTAATCACTAGTGTCTGGTTTAATAGAACATAGCTGGATTCTCAAATCACCTTCTGCTTATAATCTATTATAATCTATATATCATTGGCTGAAGGATATATAGAAAATCTGGCATATATAAAATGTGGTTCAGAAATGAAGGAGTATTTTAATAACCTTTTCCGTTAATTGTGGATTTTTTTTTTATACCACAAGTCGTATTTTCTGTTTCCTTTTTTTTTTTTTTTTTTTTTTTTGAGACAGTCTCACTCTGTCGCCCAGGCTGCAGTGCAGTGGTGCGAGCTCGGCTCACTGCAACCTCTGCCTCCCAGGTTGAAGCGATTCTCCCGCCTCAGCCTCCCGAGTAGCTGGGATTACAGCTGCCCTCCACCACACCTGGCTAATTTTTGTATTTTTAGTAGAGATGGGGTTTCACCATGTTGGTCAGGCTGGTCTGGAACTCCTGACCTCAGGTGATCTGCCTGCCTTGGCCTCTCAAAGTGCTGGGATTACATGTGTAAGCCACCTCGCCCAGCTCACAAGCAGTAGTTTCTTAGATGTTGCAATGTGAAATCTGAAATTAATCTCAATTAACTTTTAATTGTGAATTTCAGAGTCTGTTACATTAAAACATATTGATATTTCTCTCTTTTTTTTTTTTACTATTATACTTTAAGTTCTAGGGTACATGTGCATAATGTGCAGGTTTGTTACATATGTATATTTGTGCTATGTTGGTGTGCTGCACCCATCAACTCGTCAGCACCCATCAACTCGTCATTTACATCAGGTATAACTCCCAATGCAATCCCTCCCCCCTCCCCCCTCCCCATGATAGGCCCCAGTGTGTGATGTTCCCCTTCCTGAGTCCAAGTGATCTCATTGTTCAGTTCCCACCTATGAGTGAGAACATGCAGTGTTTGGTTTTCTGTTCTTGCGATAGTTTGCTGAGAATGATGGTTTCCAACTGCATCCATGTCCCTACAAAGGACACAAACTCATCCTTTTTGATGGCTGCATAGTATTCCATGGTGTATATGTGCCACATTTTCTTAATCCAGTCTGTCACTGATGGACACTTGGGTTGATTCCAAGTCTTTGCTATTGTGAATAGTGCTGCAATGAACATATGTGTGCATGTGTCTTTATAGCAGCATGATTTATAATCCTTTGGGTATATACCCAGTAATGGGATGGCTGGGTCATATGGTACTTGTAGTTCTAGATCCTTGAGGAATTGCCATACTGTTTTCCATAATGGTTGAACTAGTTTACAATCCCACCAACAGTGTAAAAGTGTTCCTATTTCTCCACATCCTCTCCAGCACCTGTTGTTTCCTGACTTTTTAATGATCACCATTCTAACTGGTGTGAGATGGTATCTCATTGTGGTTTTGATTTGCATTTCTCTGATGGCCAGTGATGACGAGCATTTTTTCATATGTCTGTTGGCTGTATGCATGTCTTCTTTTGAGAAATGTCTGTTCATATCCTTTGCCCACTTTTTGATGGGGTTGTTTGTTTTTTTCTTGTAAATTTGTTTGAGTTCTTTGTAGGTTCCGGATATTAGCCCTTTGTCAGATGGGTAGATTGCAAAAATTTTCTCCCATTCTGTAGGTTGCCTGTTCACTCTGATGGTAGTTTCTTTTGCTGTGCAGAAGCTCTTTAGTTTAATTAGATCCCATTTGTCAATTTTGGCTTTTGTTGCCGTTGCTTTTGGTGTTTTAGACATGAAGTCCTTGGCCATGCCTATGTCCTGAATGGTATTACCTAGGTTTTCTTCTAGGGTTTTTATGGTATTAGGTCTAACATTTAAGTCTCTAATCCATCTTGAATTAATTTTCGTATAAGGAGTAAGGAAAGGATCCAGTTTCAGCTTTCTACTTATGGCTAGCCAATTTTTCCAGCACCATTTATTAAATAGGGAATCCTTTCCCCATTTCTTGTTTTTCTCAGGTTTGTCAAAGATCAGATGACTGTAGATGTGTGGTATTATTTCTGAGGACTGTGTTCTGTTCCATTGGTCTAACATATTGATATTTCTTGATTGAGTTTTAATGTATATTTTACTTATGCATGGTTTTGTAATGTGACATATTGGGTATTTGAAAAATATTGTTTCACTGAGCTTACAAATGTTGGCAGGCCAGGCACAGTGGTTATGCCTGTCATCCCAGCACTTTGGGAGGCAGAGGTAGGCAGATCACTTGGGCCCAGGAGTTTGAGACCAGCCTGAGCAACATGATGAAACCCTGTCTCTACAAAAAATACAAAAATTACCTAGGCATGGTGGTGTATGATTCTGTAGTCTCAGCTACTGGGGGAGGTTGAGATAGGAGGATCACTTGAGCCAGGGAGTTGGAGGTTGCAGTGAACTGAGATCATGCTACTCCATTCCAACCTAGGAGACAGAGCAAGACACTGTCTCAAAAAAAAAAAAAAAGTTGGTAAATTTCAGAATACATTATATAGAAATCATAGTTGTTCATATCACTACCAGCCTCATCAGAAAGCTCTTGAGAAGCTGTCAAACTCATGGTGGCAGATACAAGTTTACCTAAAATACTATTTTTTGCTAAAAAGCTCAAATTTTATTATTGGTAACAAATACTGTCAACTGTTTTCCTCGAAGTGATAGAGTTGTTCTTTTTTTTTTTTTTTTTTTTTTTTTTTTTGAGACGGAGTCTTGCTCTGTCACCCAGGCTGGAGTGCAGTGGCCGGATCTCAGCTCACTGCAAGCTCCTCCTCTCGGGTTCACGCCATTCTCCTGCCTCAGCCTCCCGAGTAGCTGGGACTACAGGCACCCGCCACTTCGCCTGGCTAGTTTTTTGTATTTTTTAGTAGAGACGGGGTTTCACCGTGTTAGCCAGGATGGTCTCGATCTCCTGACCTCGTGATCCGCCCATCTCGGCCTCCCAAAGTGCTGGGATTACAGGCTTGAGCCACCGCGCCCGGCCCAGAGTTGTTCTTTAAGATTATATTTGTAATGCAAAAATTGGATAGTGGTTGAAATTAAATCATAAAATTTCATGAGATAATGCAGATTGTTCACTAATATTGTGTAATAACATATATCTTGATATATTTGGTTTTTTTCTTGTGCGTCAAACTTCTATTGCTGCATTGCTCTTCCTTCATAATTCTTACTGTGATTTCTGTGTGTTGAACCCATTTCCCGTTCAGAAAAAAAAGGTGCAGCTCACTGCCAGCACTCATTTCTTGGGGCAAATGGGAAATGTGTTAAAAAGTAGCAACCTATTGTTTGGCATTAAAAAATATTGTTCTTATAAGATTAGGTTAAAAAATGGATTGAAGAGAGAAATGTTCTAGAAGATAAATTAAAATGTTTAATATGTCTAGTGGGCTTTATTTTTTAAATACGGGCTTGTTTGACTAAATCATAATTTTTATTTTTAAGGGGACACTTCCATTTTTTAAAATGTTGTAAGTACTATTTGATCCCACAGATTATAAACCCCACTGTACCCTAGGAAAGAGCATAAAAAACGAGCATACAAAAGGAAGGTATTGTTTCAGCCAATCAAAAAAAGCTTCTTACAGGAAGGAAACACTGGACTCTTAGAGTTGTCAAGTTTTAAAAAACCGTCTAATAGAAAATAGTCTGATTTCTGGGCTTTTTGTTCAGGGTCATCAGTGATTATCCAGGATTTTGAATACAAGAAAGAAATTCTGAATGAAACAATGTTTCTCATATAACAGGCCGCCCAAAGATAGAATAGGCTTCAGGGTTGACTGAGTGGCTCAAAACGTCATCAGGGACCTACTTTCCAGCACTGTTCCTCCAGCCCTGGTGTTGGCTTCATTCTCAGGCTGCTAGGAGATGTCTGCAGCTGTTCTCAGTGTTCACCTTCAGACACAACAGTGTCCGCCTTCAGACACAGCAGTGTCCGCCTTCAGACACCGCAGTGTCCGCCTTCAGACACAGCAGTGTCCCGAGGAAGAGACGTTGTCTCTTCTCTGACTCTCGGAATGGAGAAAACTTCTTAAAGAAATGTGGCCCAGTTAGCTTCCACTTAGGTCTCCTTGTCCAGAACTGGTTACACTTCCATTCCCGAACCAGTCGTTGGTAGGGAAATGGGATTATCCGGGGCCAAGCAGGCTCATCCTGGAAGCCAGGGATCTGTGAAGTAGGAGGAAAATAGATGTACAGTAATTGGGCAGCCAACTTTGTCCAACAGAGCTTCTCAAACTTCAGTATGCAGACGGTTAAGCCAGGGATACTGTTAAAATGCAGATTCAGGTTCAGTAAAACTAAGGTAAGAGCTAAATCGGCATTTCTAACCAGCTCCTACTGGTGATACCCGTGCTGCAGATCTAGGGACCTTGGACTGAATATCGAGACAGTCAGTAAACTATTTGGTTCTATTGAAAATAAAGCATTCTTCACTCTTCCTATCTAACCCATTTCTGAAACTTAATTGGATATAGAGAACCTAAATCTTTTTAACTTTTAAATAAGAATCCTACCCCAAACTCTGAACAGTTCCCCAGTTATAATTAAATTGAAATACTGTTGAAAAACATTGAACACAGATGCTGAGCTAAAATGTAGAAGGGACGCTTTATTCATAGTAGTGCATAGAAGAGATTTGCCAGCAGGTGGCGCTCGGGGCTTTTTAAGTCACGGGAACAAACATGGCATTTTGCCAGTTGGTACATCTGTTATTGGAGTCCATAACATAAAAATCCACCAAGGATTCTTTATAATAATAAAGCATTTTAAACACTAATTATTACTTTGTCAGTCTATTACATAAGGTATGGCCATCATTTTTCAAAATTATTCATGCTCGATTTACACAGTGAAGCATTTCAGATCCAAAATTCTTTTCCTATGTTTTCTTTATTTTCCACCGTATAACTGCAACTGTGGTCACGGTAGGTGGATATGTATGCAGAGCCAGGCTTGTGCCTTTTCTGCATTCATCTCTAAATATACTTTATCACTTCTAACTTCTACTAACTAAGCTTTTCTAGGCTGCTTTGGTTTACCTGATTTCTTCACTGCCTTTTCCACTTCCTGGAACGTAAATCCACTTAGTGTGGGGAGGATAATGGTGAAGACGACACGTGAGCCTGTCAGAGCACGGCTGAGGCAGGAATGCAGCATACTCTCTGCATCTTTTCAGTTTAAACATTTTCACGGACTTCAGTACAGAGGTTCGGTAAACCAGTTTACTGCTAGTGAATACTGAGTAAAAAATTTGCAAATTAACAGCCATATTAGGTGAGCGTTCAGACAATGAAGGATACCTATAGCCAACCACATCAACATTTATTGGTTTAAAAGAACTTTTTTTTTTTTTTTTTTTTGAGGCAGAGTCTCGCTCTGTCACCCAGGCTTGAGTGCAGTGGCGCAATCTAGGCTCACTGCAGCCTCCACCTCCCGGGTTCAAGCGATTCTCCTGCCTCAGCCTCCTGAGTTGCTGGGATTACAGGCACGTACCACCACGCCCAGCTAATTTTTGTATTTTTAGTAGAGATGGAGTTTCATCTTATTGGCCAGGCTGGTCGTGAACTCCTGACCTCAGGTGATCCGCCTGTCTTAGCCTCCCAAAGTGTTGGAATTACAGGTGTGAGCCACCACGCCCAGCCCTTTTGTTGTTTATGAAATAGAAATTTGAACTATAAAATATTAAACCTATGAAACAAAGATTAATAAAAGAATGTAAAATTAAATCTGCCAGTATAGGGCATGGAATGATGAACAGTATTGAACCAAGGTAAAGACAGTTTTGAAAGTGGAATAAAATTTAGGCTTCTTGGTGTTAGCGACGTGATCACAAACAAGCCAGCAACTGTTCTGAGCTTCAGACACTCTATTTGTGGGAGGAGATTGTTGATACATGTTGCTAGGGTCCATTCTAACTTCAGAGTTCTTCAGGTTCTGTGAGAAATAGTGGAAGAAGGGAAGATCGTTGCAGACTGGCAGTATTAGATACCGGACTTTAAAGTGGATCTTGAAAGATTAGTCGAATTTCTGAATATTCAACCTCAAAGCTCAAGGGTGGCTGAGTTGGGGAATTTTCCACCTCCGTGCAAAGCTGCCTTTGCTATGTAAATGTCAAAAAATGGTTGGAATTAGATCTTTGATCTTGAGCTGTAAATCCCTGAATAGGCAGAGAGGGCATTAAACAAATGGAGTAGTAAACAGAAGTTTAGACATCAAGTTATGGCATGAATCTCACCTATTTGGAGAGCATTGAAGAAGTTGACCACACTAGATTCGAAGGTATGTTTCCTATTTTGTGTAGGTAAAATTAGGTCTCTTTAAAAAGAATCTGAAACAGCAAAATTTAAAACATTTTAGAAATACGTTACCTCAAAATCTACTATATAAACTATGAAATAATCACTACAGGATGTATTTTGAGAAGAAAAATAAATATAAGAAATGGGATTAAAGAAGCATTGGTGAGCAAAGAAACTGGTTAAATTTTTTGCTAAAATGATACCAATGTGTGAGGGATTGAAGTGCCTTGTTTGAGGGGAAGATACAGACCCTGTTATGCTCTGTAAGAAAGGAGATGCCCATACTGAGATTAGCTATCAGCACGTCCTGCCTGGCAGCACATTTTATCCTTTCTTCCTGGCAAACTGCAGGAAATCTCAATACCCCCAACACACTACCAAGTATTGCCAAACATTTAAGAAAAGCAAAAGCCAACAGAGAGGCACCAGACTCATAGCTGAAGAGTGTAATACTTCAGAGTCTTAAAAGAGCAAGCTTGATGATTTTAGGATCTTCGAGGACAAAACTGTTTTCACTAACAAGACTATCCCGGCTGGCACGGTGGCTCATCCCTGTAATCCCAGCACTTTGGGAGGTGAGGTGGGAGGATCACCTGAGGTCGGGAGTTCGAGACCAGGCTGACCAACATGGAGAAACCCCGTCTCTACTAAAAATACAAAATTAGCTGGGCGTGGTGGCACATGCTTGTAATCCCAGCTACTAGGGAGGCTGAGGCAGGAGAATCGCTTGAACCTGGGAAGCAGAGGTTGCAGTGAGCCGAGATCACACCATTGCACTCCAGCCTGGGCAACAACAGCAAAACTCTGTCTCAAAAAAAAAAAAAAAAAAAGACTATGACTATGCCTTAATTTGCTTTTTATATATTTATTAATATTTATTTTTATTTTTTTGAGACAGAGTCTCACTCTGTTGCGCAGGCTGGAGTGCAGTAGTGTGATCTCTGCTCACTGCAACCTCCACCTCCCGGGTTCAAGCAATTCTCATGCCTCAGCCTCCCCAGTAACTGGGATTACAGGCATGTGCCACCATGCCTAGCTAATTTTTGTATTTTTGTAGTATTTTTGTCTGCAGACAAAAGTCTGCAGAGACAAGGTTTTAAGCCAGGCATTAAAGACTTGCAAAACCATTAAACTCTGCCACTCGCTGGCTTTTAAAAATAAAAATGTTATGTTCACATATAATTGGTTTATTATTTTTAGAGGCATTAATAGCTTTAAAACACTTAATTTCTAGCATGGTAACTATTGGTAAATGTAACCCACATACACATTCTTTGGGGTCCTCAGTCTTTAGGAGGGTGTTAAGGGGTCCTGAGGTCTAGGGGAATGGAATTAGAATAGGTGATCAGACTATTCATAATGCTGCAAACTTTTGGAGGAAATCTTAGAGAAAAAATTTTTAAACTCAGTCAGTCTTCCAAAATAGAAAAGAATGAGAAAAAACAGTAACAAAACTTTGGTTAAAGATCACAGAAAAAGAGTGCAAACAATGCAAGTGGGTGGCTGGGTGATTTTAACTTATCAGAAGATACTATCAGAGCACATTAAAAAAACCCAGAAGTATTAGCCTTAAAAATGAAGGAAATTCTGACATAATGCTACATGGGTGAACCTTGAGGACATGATGCTGAGTGAAATAAGGCAGTCTCAAAAAGACAAGTGCTGTATGATTATATCAGATGCTTGGAGTGGTTGAAATTATAGAGACAAAGAATGGTGGCTTCCAGAGGCTAAGGGAAGGGAGCAATGGGGAGTTAGTGTTTAATGGATACAGAATTTGTTTTACACAATGGAAGGAGTTTTGGAAATGGTTGGTGGTGATGGTTACACAATATGAATATATTCAGTACCACTGTACTATATACTTACAAATGGTTAATGTGGTAAATTTTGTGTTCCATGTATTTTGCCACAATAAAAAAATAAAACACTAGCCCTGTCTGATAGGGTTTCTGTTATGCTAAATATGAGTGCTCAATATATGCCAACAGAATTGGGAAAAAAGTAAACAAAATTCAGCCTAAAAAAGTATTTAAAATAGTATAGGAAGAATGAAAATAAGGGCTAGAAAAATATATGCCAGGCATATCTCCTTTAACAAGGAGAAAATAAAACTTACCAATCTATTAATATACAAAATAGAACTCAAGATGTGAAAATCACTAAAAGAGATAGAGAAGGGTGTTTTACATTAGTAAATGGTCAAATACACCAAAAAGATAAAAGTCATTGATTTGAAATGTGTGATAAAGGCAAAACAGAACTGGAAAATAACATTTGGGAAGCCACATCACCATGGAAGCATTGATAATCAATTTTAACCAGTAACAACAAAAACTTGCATCTGCTCGTGGGATGCTCTTGGCCACAGGTATTTTGTCACACAATGATTTTTTAAAAGTGATGAACTAATCAGTTACTACTGCTACGTGACAGATTACCCCAACACTTAGGGAATAGAGAGACCCAAAGGTAGAGGTGATTCAGTGACCAGGACTACAGTCAACCATGTGCTGTGTACTCACATCAGGTGCCTGAGCTTGGTACAACCTGAAGACCAGAACCCAAGGGCCCACATGGGGTTCTGCATGTGGCCTGGCTCCTCATGTGTCAGCCTTAGGGTAGTTGGACTTCTTTCATGGTGGCTCAGGATTCTAAGCACGTGTGTTCCAGGAAACAAGGCAGAAACCTCACTGCCTTTTATGACCTAGCCTCAAAAGTCACATAGCATCATTTCTTTCATGCTCTATTGGTTGAAATGGTCATAAACCCTCCCAGATTTAACGCAAAAGGGCATAAACCCCTACTTCTTAATGGGAGGAGTGTCAAATACTGTAAATTATAATAATCCTTAATTTAAATATTTGATATTTTAAAATCTCTTCAGTCCAACTTCTGGCCACAGATTTATTAACATTCTTCCATATGCAAAAATGCATTCGCCCTTTCCACAGATGCGCCTACCTGGAGATCCGGGATGTAAATCATGTCCAGCTGCAGCTGAGATTCCTCAGATGTGGTTTCTTAGCTACAGCTCTTTGAGTACTTTGAGAATCTCCTGGGAAAGGCTAGGGATGAGGCACAGTTTTACTTTTAAACCCCGTAAGTCTTGGCTCTTTTATATTCTTTGTAAATTTTGTTTGAAAACTGGCCAGTTCTTTTATTATTTTTTTAGTTCACCTCTCTTTGTCCGTTCTTATTGTGGGTAAAGTAGACCACTGGTACCTTCAGCATTCTGCTTGGAGCTCTGCTCGGCCAGATCTACCAGTGCAGTTGTTAGTTTTTCCATTTCCCTTAACACAAGCACAGTGTTGCTAAACATTTTGCCATTTCATCGTCTGAGACTTCATCAACAGCCTTCTCTAGGCCCTTGCAGCTGTGCTGGCCACCAGGTCCCAAAGCAGGTCCCGAAGCTGGTACTAAGTTTGTTCCAGGAGCACCTCATTTCCTGTGCCATGGTTAGGCACTTTGATCCTGGCCTTTGAGTCTTTGCAGGCTGCTGCTTCACACAACTAAGTTTTGTGGTGATGTGTTAGCAGAGCAGCAGTAACTAATATAAAACAGAGAACATTTCCATCATCCTAGAAAATGTGCTTCATGCCACCCTTTGATCAAAACCCACCCTTCAGCCTGGTGCAGTGGCTCATGTCTGTAATCCCAGCACTTTGCGGGGTCGAGGTGGGTGGATCACCTGAGGTCAGGAGTTCAAGACCAGTCTGGCCAACATGATGAAGCTCCCATCTCTACTAAAAATACAAAAATTAGCCGGGCTTGGTGGCGGATGCCTATAATCCCAGCTACTCAGGAGGCTGAGGGACAGAGCAAGACCCTGTCTCAAAAAAAAAGAAAAAACCATTAGAGAAAAATAGCTTACTATTAATTTCCTTTAGAATTGAATTTTAAAGGGCTTATAGATAAATTAATCTAGAAGTCTTGCTCTACAAAAGGAACCTGGTGAGCATAAAATACTAAGCTACGTCTAATTTTTTCTGACAAAGTTGTAATCCAGATGTCATTAGTATTATTTCATACATACTTTTTCATGTATGAATACATATTTTTAAGGGTTAAAGCATGTACCACCGGGCCGGGCACAGTGGCTCACGCCTGCAATCCCAGCACTTCGGGAGGCTGAGGTAGATGGTTCACCTGAGGTCAGGAGTTTAAGACCAGCCTGGCCAACATGGTAAAACCCCATCCTTACTAAAAATACAAAAATTAGCCAGGCGTGGTGGCAGATGCCTATAATCCCAGCTACTCTGGAGGCTGAGGCAGGAGAATCGTTTGAACCCAGGAGGGGGAGGTTGCAGTGAGCTGAGATTGCGCCGTTGCCCTCCAGCCTGGGCAACAAGAGGGAAACTCTGTCTCAAAAGAAAGGGGAGGAGGAAGAAAAAGCATGTACCACATACTTACTTTGTTTGACCATTTTCTCTTTTTTTTTGTTCTTTTCTGTAGCTTTTCTGCAATTAGATAAAAAAGGACCACAAAAGCATCACTTTGATCAACCTTCAGTAGCACCTGGGAAAAACTACTCTTTCACAAGAGAAGAGGTGAGACAGATCGATCGGGAAAATCAGAGGCTTTTGAAAGAACTGTCAAGACAGGCGGAAAAGCCAGGAAGCAAAAGTACAATTCCTAGATCAACTGATCATCCCCCAAAGTTATATCACAGTGCTCTCAACAGACAGAGGGAACAACAAAGGATTGAGAGAGAAAACTTGGTAAGTAACTAAAATAGTCATCAAAGAAAATGTGTTTGCACTGGTTTGTACGTCCAGCTTACAGGAAACCTAAATACAGCCAAATATTCAAACTTCATTACATAAGAGCAGGTACAGTATGTGTGGTATGAAACATATGATGTGCTGTAAGTCTGGAAGATACAATATGTATTTTTATCCAGGAAACTATATATTAAGAGACCACTGGCCAGATGCAGACCTATAGAATTATAGGTCACACCTATAATTCTAGCACTCTGGGAGGCTGAGGTGGGCAGCTTGCTTAAGGCAAGGAGTTTGAAACCAGATTGTGCAATCTGGCAAAACCCCAGCTCTACCAAAAATGCAGAAATTAACTGGGCATGGTGGCACACACCCGTGATCCCAGATACTTGGGAGGCTGAGGTGGGAGGAGCATCTGAACCCGACTGGCGTAGGTTACAGGGAGCCGAGATTCTACCACTGGACTCCAGCCTGGGCAACAGAGCCAGACTCCATCTCAAAAAAAGAAAAAAAACAAAAAAAATAAAAGAGAGAGAAGGAGACCATTAAAGGAAAATACTGAAAGTTCCATTATTTATTTGCCTAGATCAGTTAAATCACTACAGTGGAACAGGAAGTGGTATCCAAGGGTCAGATACAGTGTTTCTTCTGTGAAGTATTCAGTCACTAGTGAAATCTCTTTTACTTTATTGTGTCCTGGAAAGCTAAAATAAATTTTGTATCACTTATTTTAAAGGATCAGTGTATCTCCAATAGGCCAAATTGTTAGTCTGCTACTTAAATGTATGAAACATTGATTGTTACAAATCATATAGTTTGATATTCTAAGAAAATAAAAATGGGAACTGTTGAAAATCTTCACATTTAAAACTATTATAGCATATTTTCTTCATAAGATTTAGTTTATAATAATTGCTGATACTTACTGAGCTTTTACTAAATACTAGGGATTGTTTTCTGAGTATCTTCCAAGTATTAACTTACTGAATCCTGACAACAATTCTCTGAAGTAGGTAACTATTTTTATCCACATCTTACGATGAAAAAACTGAGCTCATACAGGTTAAATATTTAGCACAGAGCTACTAAGTATGCTGCTGAGCCAAGATTTTAAACCTGGGTAGTCTCTTAAACTAGAATTAGACCCTTAATGAACACATAAACTCTGAGCTAAAATAATTTAGAAAGCTATTAAAATTATTAAGACGATTTTCAAAATTAACCCTCCTTATGTGTCATTACCAGTGTTTTCCTACGTAACCATATGCTTACCTAAACTTGTAACAACTCCTTTGTACATTTCTTTATTATCATACTAACCCCAAGATTTGGGAAGCTAGGATTACTATTTACAAAAACTAGTAGTCTTGAACCCTTCAAGAGGATTACCCTGCACATGGCAAGGAACAGATAACTAAGCTAGGTGAAATGAGGTTGGTGGGAGCTGAGATAGATGATAGTGTTCCACACATCACCTTCGCGATATTCAAGATTCATTCATGTTTCATGGAAATTTGAAATTCCCATATGTCGCAAACATTTGGGATTACTTCCTTTGTTTTCACTCTCGCACCTGTCTCTGGGCTGATCTCATTTAATCAACAATTACATTGTGCATACTATTTTACAAGTGTTAGGCGTTTCAGGCAAATCCTGATAGCAATCTTACGGTTACTGTAGTTACAGAAGAGTAAAAGAGACACTGGGTGGGGCACAGGAACTGACTCAGGGTCACACAGCTAGCAAGTGTCAGAGCCCAGGTGCAAATCCAGGTTGCCTAGCTTGGGGGTTACCTTTTTTATTAACCAGCTTTATTGAGATAATTCACAGACTATTACCCATTTAAAGTATACACATTCAATGATTTTGGGTATATTATTAAGTTGTAGTAATGTATATATAACTTAAAATTTGCCATTTTAACAATTTTTAAGTGTATAATTCAGTGGCATTAAGAATATCCACAGTGTTGGGCAACTGTCACTTTAACAATTTTTAAGTGTATAATTCAGTGGCATTAAGCGTATCCACAGTGTTGGGCAACTGTCACTACCATCTATTTCTAAAGCGTTTTCATCACTTCATACAGATGCTGTGCTTATTAAACAGCTCTCCTTTCCCCACCCGTTTATCATCTGAGGGTGTCTAGTCTACTTTCTGTCTCTATGAATTTGGCTATTCTAAATATTTCATATGAGTTAGGACCATATCTGGTTTATTTCACTTAAAATGTTTTCACGTTTCATCTATATTGTAGCATGTGTCAGAACCTAATTCCTTTTTATGGCTGAATACTATTCCATTGTAGGTGTAGACCTAAGCTACAGTGAATAATACTGAAGTGAATATTGGCAACTATCTGTTCATGTCCCTGCTTTTAGTTCCTTAGGGTGTACACATAGAGTAGAATTCCTGGGTCATATGGTAATTTTGTGTTTAGCTTTTTAAGGAACCTGAGTTTACTTTTTTTTTTTTTTTTTTTAGAGATGGAGTCTCACTCGTTGCCAGGCTGGAGTGCAGTGGCGCGATCTCAGCTCACTGCAACCTCTACCTCCCAGGTTCAAGCGATTCTTCTGCCTCAGCCTCCTGAGTAGCTGGGACTGCAGGCACATGCCACCACACCCGGCTAATTTTTTGTATTTTTAGTAGAGATGGGGTTTCACCGTGTTAGCCAGGATGGTCTCAATCTCCTGACTACATGATCCTCCTCTGCCTCCCAAAGTGCTTCGATTACAGGCGTGAGCCACTCCACCCATTGACTTTGGTTATTTTTCTATTTAAAAAATCCTATTAGTCCAGGCCTGATGACTCATGCCTATAATATAAATATAACTATTTATATTGAGCCTGTTTGACAGTCTTAAATATTACCTTCCTGACCAGAAGTATGGTCTTAACCATACTTCAAACCTTCTCATACTCAACCTTAAAAAAAAAAAGAGCCACATTCACTCTTTAAGTGTGAGCTGATACTTTTTTTTTTTTTTTTTTGGAGAGATGAGATCTCACTTTGTTGCCCAGACTGGTCTCAGACTCCTGACCTCAGGCAATCCTTCCGCCTTAGCCTCCTAAAGTGCTGGGATTACAGGCGTGAGCTACTGCACCCGGGCTGATAAACTTTTTAATCTGTTTGCTAAACTGTTAATATTTAAAATATACATGCATGTGTTCAGCACACACAGATACACTTTTGTAGTTATTTCTGTGTTAGATATACTGCAAAACAGAATTCATTCCTTTATATTTTTTATGATTTATATTCCTTCATTTGCTCTATCCCCAGTGACAGAGAACAATTCAGGTGGCTAACAGACATGATGACTAAAGCATTTCTGTTCTGGCACTCTTACATCAGTGTGTTAGCAATTCAGAGGCTATTTAGATGGAAATAATCCCAGACAAAGAAGTAGCGTTGTGCAGAAAAGATAGAGAAGGAAGGCAACGATTGTATAAAACTGACTTCTGTGCTCTACAGTTAAAAGCATACTGTTCATCTGTCCTTCTGATGAGGTTCAAGATCATCATTATTTGTTTCAATAGGTAGATACTGTCCTTCCTCTCATTAAACATTGCATCCAAACAAAAATTAAGGGAATAAAAATTATTCTAGCTTATTAGCCTAGCTTATTAGCAAATTTTAAATTCAGAGAAATGAAAATTTTATCCAATAGAGAGTGTTTTTATCCAGTAGATAACTTTTATCAGTAGAAAGCCTCAATGATCATTATAATTTAAATAATATTAGAATTTTATTACTTGTAAAAAGGGGAGTAATTTTTTAATTCATGAATTCTGAAATATTATTTTTAGCCAGGTACAGTGGCTTACGCCTGTAATCCCAGCATTTTGGGAGGCCAGGGCCGGAGGGTTGCCTGAGCCCAGAAGTTCAAGACCAGCATGGTCAACGTTGTGAGATTCCATCTCTACAAAAAATAAAAAATTAGCCAGGCGTGGTGGCGCATGGCTGTAATCCCAGCTGCTCCGGAAGCTGAGGAGGAGGATCACTTGGTCCTGGGAGGTCAAGGCTGCAGAGAGCCATAATCACTCCACTTCCACCTCCTGCGTTCAAGTGATCCTTCAGCCTGGGTGACAGAGCAAGACCCTATCTCAAAAAAAAAGAAAGGAAGATTCTTGTTGAACCATATCTCTTTCTTTTCATTTGAACTTTTTTCCAAAAGAGCACAAGAACAATCTTAGCAGAAGGAGAGGTGGTTAAAGATACTTGGTTTATGGTTTCACTTTACCCTTTAAGAAGAAGTGAGATTATTTCATTCTTTTGAATGCGTGTCAGTTTCCTCAGGTGTGAAAGAATGTTGAGGGGAGAGAAGTAATTCAAGCAAAGTTATGGAGGAAGTAAGATTCCTAGAGGAATGTAGTATCAGGGTTGGAGCCTAAAGTTAACTAAATGGAGTTAACTTACTTTTTTTTTTTTACTTTCTAAGATTATGTTTATAAATAAAATAGTCCTTAGTTATTTTGTTGCTCTTGTTTTGGGGGGAGTTTTTTGTTGGCTTTTGGAGATGTTACCCAGGCTGAATTCCTGGGCTTAAGTGATCCTCCCAGCTCAGCCTCCTGAGTACCTGGGACTACAAGCGTGTAACACCCCGCCTAGCTTATTAGCAAATTTTAAATTCAGGGGAATGAAAATAAATAGACAATATCGTCTAGCCCATCTTTTCATGTACAAAAATTTAAACGAACAAATAAATAATGTATTAATGATTTCTGCAGCTGTTAGCATAAGTTTTCCAGTTAGGAGTTCTTGTGTGTTTTATTTTATTTTATTTTAAAAATAAAAGGCATGTATGAATTTAGAAACTTAAGGCAGTTCTTTTTCTTTTTTTTTTTTTTGAGACAAGGTCTCGCTTTGTCACCCAGGCTGGAGTACAGTGGCACAATCTTGGCTCACTACAACCTCTGCCTTGCGAGTTCAAGCTATTCTCCTGCCTCAGCGCCCTGAGTAGCTGAGATCACAGGCATGTGCCACCACCCCTGGC